ATATCAGTCACTTGAATAAGGTCAAGTTAACGAGCCAGCATATTTCCCATCAAGTTAAATAATTCTCTAGTTATTTCCAGACTATGCTCTTTATAAATTAGTCTCAAGCAAAAAATTCAAAAACCCCACCATATGAAAACAAAATTCATGACAAAAAAAAAAAAAAAAAAAAAAAAAAAAAAAAAAAAAAAACTAAATTGTTGGGGTGGGTCCAAGCTGGACTTGCCAACATGTCAAAAAAATCCAAGTTGGCGCTGACATGTAAATGTATAACGGAGGTAACGATGCACGTGTTGCACATGATGCACGTGTTGCACATGTTGCACGTGACCTTTTGACGTTAAATTTTGCCTTATTTCCTTAAACTCAAAAATAAAAAGGGTAAAATTCATATATTGTAATATGAGGGGCAAAACGCCTTAAATTCGAAAAGTTAAAGGGCAAACGGGTACCTTTTGCCAAAATTTTCACGGCATTTGCAGAGACGAGAACGGGGAAGGACTCCCTGACGCCGTGGGACTCCATTGACATCCATAATTACAGCCAGTAATTCAAAAGCACCTCGACAATGATAATAGGCACCGTGTTTGGATGGTAGTCTCTTTTCAGTGGATTTGTTTTTTTGTCGGATTTGGAGTGAAATTCTTTTCGGTGGTTATTATTACCATGCATTTATTATTGTAATGCATTGCCTTCCCCATTATAGAAGCTGCCACTTCCAAACTACCACTTCCATCGTCTCTGCTCTCTAGTACTGCCCCAGATTGTAGTTCATCTCTTCCTAGTGTCGTCATGGGTAATTTCTGTCTCACTGCTCTAGGTCGTAGGTCATCTCTTCCTAGTATGGTCGTGGTTAATCATCCAATACCAAAAAAATTTCTTGTTCGATATGGTTTTGTTTTGCCTTTGGTTTTTGATTTGTTGTTGACTTTGTGCAGGTCGTGACAAGAAGATCAGGATTGGAATCAATGGTAATACTCTGATATATACTTTGGTGAATTTGGTTTAATTTTAGTTGGGTTACGCTCTAAAACAACAAGACTTGAAATGTGTTTGCAGGATCTCGAG